GACACACTACTGCTGCTGTGATTGTAATAGATGTGGTGGCCTGACAACCCTAAGAGGTTACAGGATCTGTGATCATGTTTATAGGTGGCATAGACCAGTTCAGTTCCCTGAATATATGCTGGCATGTACTTTTCTTTGCATCGCTTACCATGGAACTACCTTTTATTTTTTATATTATGCACTTTTACTTCCTAAAAGTGAAAGTTTGAAAAGCCATTAAAAGACAAATCGGTCACTTCCTAAAACAATTGAAAGCTCTCCCTTATCCAAGATGATGAATGCTCAGAAGTCCGTGCCTTTTACAGCAAAGAGTAAGACCTAGCATCACTGACCTGTATATTACATGGTACTTATTTACACTATTTACATTTCTTGGACTATCATCCTCATCTTTGTTGCCATATTTATCACAATGTTTCAACTGTTGTATGCTCCAGCCTTCTTCAGGTAGTTGGAATATCAAACTGAACCTTTTTTTTGCTCTAGGCATTGGAGAACTTGGAGAGGTGAATTAACAGGAGATAACTGATAACTGACATCCGTTAGATATTGCATGTGGAACTAGAACAGTCTACCCCTGCTTATTAACTCAATAGTCAATTGCAAATATGTGTATGTGTTTCAGTTGAAATATGTACATGTGTTTTATTCATTATGTTTATGCACTGTTTTATAATCCACTATATATATATATATATATATATATATATATATATGAGAGAGAGAGAGTGTGGGAGGTAGGAATAAATGCTGCATAGTGACTGTCAGTTTCATGTTTTAATGTGATCTTCAGAACAAGAAATGCTGATAAACACCCTTGCCATATAAATGTAGTAAATTTTATATGTATATATACATATATATTGAGGAATATGATATACAAATTTCAAGCAAACTAATAGTGGGTAATTGAATGTGTAAAACATCCTATATTATACATTTCTTTTGAAAGGACTTCTTCAGACTGAAGGCAATTTTTTTTCTATTTTGTCATACACTTATCTATATTATATCTATCTATCTATCTGTGTGTGTGTGTGTATATATATATATATATATATATATATATATATATATATACTGATCATGAGAGCCAGGTTCGAATCTCACAATGGTCAATTTGTCGGGAAGGCAACTTCCTGATGTTATCGGACTGGGTCGAGGTCAATCCCAGCATGTAGCAATCTTTGGAAAGTGTCTGAAAACCATACTACGGGTTGACCCAAGCCTTGAGAATGAAATTGAATAGATGGAACTCTTGTGGGCCATCGAAAGCTGTGCTAGCACGAAACCACAAGTCTTCATGGCTGAAGGCTTGAGCGTACTGGCCTTGTTCAAATTGTTGATCACGCTAAATAACATGCTCTCTCCCAGATACTGTAACTAAGGTCTGCTCAGCTTAGTTGCAGTATAAACTACAGATGAACTCTGTGGGTGTTGAGCAAACATAAATGTGCCTGAGCAGGCAGTAAATGGGTATCCTTGAATACGAGTAGCCAGCTCTCTCTCTCTCTCACTCTCCATATATATATATATATATATATATATATATATATATATAATCAAATATGTGTTGCAGTTCAATTTACAATGAATCATTCATGCAAAAAGTAGATTAGTAAAGTTAATGATATAAAATTGTGAAACCCTTTCGCTAACAAAATTTTAAAGGTGCATTAACCTACAAATCACTTGATAAATGTTATGATCCTTGTTTTTAAATGTTATAAGCTGTATAAGGTCTTTCTTTAATACGCAAGTACTTTCAACTGTACATTCAGTCATCTTCAGGCATCAAAATTATTTTGTTTTTGGTAAAATTCAGGTAGCAATTGAGACAAAAAAATATAATGTGAATTGAAATATGTTTTTTTTAAATGTGTTATTGTTAATGGATACAAACTTTTAGAATGTGCAGTTGCAATGCTAAAGTTGAATTTTTTTTTAAATTTAAGAGAGTGTGTTTTTACTAATATGGCAATTTGAGAATTTTTTTATTGTAGGAGTTAATCATTCAATGTGGCATGAACTAAATAGTTCAATAAATAGAGTAATGTCTCAGTTGTTCTCTTGAAAATTTGCACATTGGATCAGTTCTTTTAAATCAAATATGTGGTGCAGTTCAATTTATATTACAATGAATCATTCATACAAAAAGTAGATTAGTAAAGTTAATGATCTAAAATGGCGAAATCCCTTCACTAACAAAATTTTAAAGGTGTATTAACCTACAAATCACTTGATGAATGTTATGATCTGTTTTAAATATTATTAGCCGTATAAGTTCTCTCTTTAATACGCAAGTACTTTCAACTGTACATTCATTAACTTTACTAATCTGCTTTTTGTATGAATGATTCATTGTAATATATATATATATATATATATATATATATATAAATAGGTAGTAAATTAAGTAAAAACTATGAATACATGCATAAATTCAAGTAAATGTAATAATAACAATCAATAACAAAGCAATCAATAATAAAGTTAACAAACACTATAAAGTAGCTACAAAACTGCATTCAGATCCACAATTATTTCCACTCCATACTCCCAGAATAATTTGAAACATAACCATTTCCGCCCACACAATAATGGTTAGAGTAATACAATAGACCTACCAATAATGCATCACTAGCCAATATACATACATAAAAGTCGAGTCAAAACATAATGTATATAACCTGACGATTGTGTTGAAGCATGAAACAGACTGATGCTGCTGGGGGTTGACCGCAATATACATTTTTATATTTACATATGCTCTATCCATGATGCCAAGCACTTTAACTCATAACTATAGCATATCTTAAAACTATATTTTTATCATATATTACTCCAAATTTTATTTTTAGTGAATACACATAATGCCAGAGGATGCATTTTCTTTAAGTTTTCACAAGTACCCAGACGTGTAGACCAACTATATACTGTTTAAAGTAAATGGAATATCTATTCAAATACAGGTATCAACTAAAAATAGCCTTTGAAGTAATAAAAATATGTTGGATTAAAAAATAAAATCCATTAATTCTTTATTTATATGTTGTGTGTGCGTGCGTACACCTCGGCAGCAATAATTGATTCAAATGATTTATTGAAAACCACTGACAAGGTCTAGCTATTTATTTTTTTTATACATATATATTGGGGCAACAAATGTTCTATACATGTTTCTTTTTTTAAATAAAATAGACAAATTGGGCATATCTTAAATATTTTACTTTAATTGGTGTATTAATTTCCATATTTTAGGATTGAAATTATGAAGGAATTGTCCACAGTCCTTATCAGTTTATTTAACTTTCAACTTGAAAAAATAAAACTTACAAATGCGTTATGTTTAAAATATTGGTATAAAGTTAACACAGGAGTTTAATTCTTGACAAAATACTTAAACAGGCATGAACTATGGAAAGTTCCTATCCTAACATACTAAAATAAAAAAAATATTGTAATATATAACTAAAATAAATCCTAAAGTGCCAGGAAAACCCACCTAGGTTTCACCAAAATGGATCTTCAGGGTAAGCTAATCTATTTAGGTAAGTTTTCCTGGCTCTTTAGGATGTATTTTAGTTATTCGCGCTCTACTTAATGTATTGAGCACTCTACGTTTTAGTCTTACTACTTGCTTGGGATTTTTTCTTTGGACTAAAGACTTAAGGCACTGGACGATTTGTTTCACCCTGTTCTGATGTTTTTAGTTCTTTCTCTTTTCTTTCTTTTTCAAATTTATTTTCTCAGGTACTGATTTGTTTTGACCTATCTACAAGTTGTGCTATCTGAGGTTTTTTCCAAACGAGTACTATTTAATATATATATTATATATATATATATATATATATATATATATATATATATATATAGAGAGAGAGAGAGAGAGACAGATTTGCCTATTGCCCAGTTCACACTCCTTCCCTGTCTATTGAACAAGAGTTGTTTCCTGTTTAGGATTTCCATCTAAATTTTTCTTATTCTCTTTCACTCCCAGTAACACCTTGCATCCTAGTGGCATTATTGCTTTGCTTGGGGTGAAATGATTAATATATATATATATATAATATACTGAAGAAATATCACTTAGCCTTTACAAAACAAGTTGACCAGTAAATTACTAAGTAAAGGGCACAGTCTTGCAAAATAGTCACTATAATTAATAAAGAAATCCAAATGACTTATTCTCTGACTTGAAGTTATGCAAATATACAATTCCACTCATAGATCTATTTATCTGATTCCAACAAATGGAATAGTCTCTACAATATATATATATATATATATATAATCTAAACAGTAAATATATTTGTCAACAAGAAAATCTTGGAAATTTATGGCTTTAATCACAGTATATTTATTACAAATTAAATTAATATATACCAGTATATTTCTACCTATCAGTTTCTTGGAACACACACACACATATATGCGTGTGTGTATGTATGCATGCAAAATATTATGCTTGATATTATATTGGTATAGGCTTCATTTGTGCTTGAATGCCTGTGAGATATATATATATATATATTTTCATACACACAAACAATATCTAATCACATGTCAATAGTAAATGTATTTGTAGTCTAGAGATTTTTAAAAAAAGAAACTTACGGTGTTAATCCGAGTATATTTATGCTAGAAATTTACTTATTATTTGTTGAGGCAGAATTTTTGTAGACAATTGAGAGAAATGTTATTGGATGGATTGCAGTCGACAGACTCTAAATCTCATATAATGAATGGGCAATGATTTACAAAATGGCTATATTTATTGATTCCCCATGTGGAATAAACAAGAATATTTTTGCCTTGTTTGGTCTTTCAAATGTTTAACTCCATATCTATCTGTGTCTCTCACCATTTTGATGTTGCTTAGATGAAATATGAAGAAATTTAAAAAAGGAAAACACTCACCATTCACTCTTTGTCTATTTTCTTCTTCTTTTCTTTTTCCTTTTTAATTTGTTCCTGTCTATATCTTTCTGAGTGTGTTTATGTTGGTCTCTTGCTATACAAAGGTGTTCAAGTTGATCTTTCTGTCTGTAAGTGTTCATATTAATTTTTCTCACTCTTTGTCTGAACTTGTTCACATTACTCTATCTCTGCCTGAGGGCATTCACATTGACCTCTCTCTATCTGGCGGTATTTACACTGTTCTCTCTCTCTGGCTAAGGGTGTTCACATTAATCTCTCTCTGGCTAAGGGTGTTCACATTAATCTCTCTCTGGCTAAGGGTGTTCATATTGATCTCTCTCTGTCTGAAGGTGTTAACATTGATCTCTCTCTCACTCTGTCTGAAGAAGTTCTCATTGATCTCCCTCTGTCTGAAGGTGTTCACTTTGATCTCTCTCTGTCTGAAGGTGTTCCCATTGATCTCTCTCTGTCTAAAGGTGTTCCCATTGATCTCTCTCTGTCTGAAGGTGTTCACTTTGATCTCTCTCTGTCTGAAGGTGTTCCCATTGATCTCTCTCTCTGTCTGAAAGGTGTTCCCACTTTGATCTCTCTCTGTCTCTCATTGATCTCTCTCTGTCTGAAGGTGTTCACTTTGATCTCTCTCTGTCTGAAGGTGTTCAGGCTGAGTTCTTTGATCTCTCTCTGTCTGAAGGTGTTCACATTGATCTCTGTCTGTCTGAAGGTGTTCACTTTGATCTCTGTCTGTCTGAAGGGAGTTCTCATTGATCTCTGTCTGTTGAAGGAGTTCTCTCTCTCTGTCTGAAGGGTGTTCCCTGTCTGAATCTCTGATCTCTGTCTGTCTGAAGGTGTTTCTCTGTCTGATCTCTGTCTGTCTGAAGGTGTTCCCATTGATCTCTCTGTCTGTCTGAAGGTGTTCTCATTGATCTCTCTCTGTCTGAAGGAGTTCTCATTGATCTCTGTCTGTCTGATGGAGTTCTCATTGATCTCTCTCTGTCTGAAGGAGTTCTCATTGATCTCTCTCTGTCTGAAGGGTGTTCACTTTGATCTCTCTGGAAGGTTCTCATTGATCTCTCTCTGTCTGAACATCTCTCTGTCTCTCTCTGTCTGAAGGAGTTCTCATTGATCTCTCTCTGTCTAAAGGTGTTCCCATTGATCTCTCTCTGTCTGAAGGTGTTCACTTTGATCTCTCTCTGTCTGAAGGAGTTCTCATTGATCTCTCTCTGTCTGAAGGAGTTCTCATTGATCTCTCTCTGTCTGAAGGAGTTCTCATTGATCTCTCTCTGTCTGAAGGTGTTCTCATTGATCTCTCTCTGTCTGAAGGAGTTCTCATTGATCTCTCTCTGTCTGAAAGGTGTTTCTGTTGATCTCAGTTCTCTTTATTGATCTCTCTCTGTCTAAAGGTGTTCTCATTGATCTCTCTCTGTCTGAAGGTGTTCTCTGTTGATCTCTCTCTCTGTCTGAAGGTGTTCACATTGATCTCTCCTGTTGATCTCTCTCTGTCTGAAGGTGTTTCCTCTGTCTGAAGGTGTTCATTGATCTCTCTGTCTGAAGGGTTCACTTTGATCTCTCTGTCTGAAGGAGTTCTCATTGATCTCTCTCTGTCTGAAGGAGTTCTCATTGATCTCTCTCTGTCTGAAGGAGTTCTCTCTCTCTGTCTGAAGGTGTTCCCATTGATCTCTCTCTCTGTCTGAAGGTGTTCTCATTGATCTCTCTCTGTCTGAAGGAGTTCTCATTGATCTCTCTCTCTGTCTGAAGGAGTTCTCATTGATCTCTCTCTGTCTGAAGGTGTTCCCATTGATCTCTCTCTGTCTGAAGGAGTTCTCATTGATCTCTGTCTGTCTGAGATCTCTCTCTGTCTCATTCTCTGTCTGTCTGAAGGTGTTCTCATTGATCTCTCTCTGTCTGTCTGAAGGTGTTCTCATTGATCTCTCTGTCTGTCTGTTCTCATTGATCTCTCTCTCTGTCTGAAGGTGTTCCCATTGATCTCTCTCTGTCTGAAGGTGTTCCCATTGATCTCTCTCTGTCTGAAGGTGTTCTATTGATCTCTCTCTGTCTGAAGGAGTTCTCTCTCTGTCTGAAGGGTTCTCATTGATCTCTCTCTGTCTGAAGGTTCTCATTGATCTCTCTCTGTCTGAAGGTGTTTCATTGATCTCTCTCTCTCTGTCTGAAGGTGTTTCATTGATCTCTCTCTGTCTGAAGGTGTTCCCATCTCTGTCTGTCTGATCTCTGATCTCTGTCTGTCTGAAGGAGTTCATTGATCTCTCTGTCTGTCTGAAGGAGTTCTCATTGATCTCTCTCTGTCTGAAGGTGTTCCCATTGATCTCTCTCTCTCTGTCTGAAGGGTTCTCATTGATCTCTCTCTGTCTGAAGGTGTTCCCATTGATCTCTCTCTCTGTCTGAAGGTGTTCTCATTGATCTCTCTCTGTCTGAAGGAGTTCCCATTGATCTCTCTCTGTCTGAAGGTGTTCCCATTGATCTCTCTCTGTCTGAAAGGTGTTCCCATTGATCTCTCTCTGTCTGTCTGAAGGAGTTCTCTGTCTGAATCTCTCTCTCTGTCTGAAGGGAGTTTCCATTGATCTCTCTCTGTCTGAAGGTGTTCCATTGATCTCTCTCTGTCTGAAGGTGTTCTCATTGATCTCTCTCTGTCTGAAGGACTTTCATTGTGTTCCCATTGATCTCTCTCTCTCTGTCTGAAGGTGTTCTCTGTCTGAAGGAGTTCTCATTGATCTCTCTCTGTCTGATCTCTCTCTCTGTCTGAAGGTGTTCTCATTGATCTCTCTCTCTGTCTGAAGGTGATTGATCTCTTCTGTCTGAAGGTGTTCACTTTGATCTCTCTCTGTCTGAAGGAGTTCTCATTGATCTCTCTCTGTCTAAAGGTGTTCCCATTGATCTCTCTCTGTCTGAAGGTGTTCTCATTGATCTCTCTCTGTCTGAAGGAGTTCTCATTGATCTCTCTCTGTCTTGTTCTCATTCTCTCTCTCTGTCTGAAGGTGTTCTCATTGATCTCTCTCTGTCTGAAGGTGTTCTCATTGATCTCTGTCTGTCTGAAGGAGTTCTCATTGATCTCTGTCTGTCTGAAGGAGTTCACATTGATCTCTCTCTGTCTGAAGGAGTTCTCATTGATCTCTCTCTGTCTGAAGGAGTTCTCATTGATCTCTCTCTGTCTGAAGGTGTTCTCATTGATCTCTCTCTGTCTGAAGGGTTCTCATTGATCTCTCTCTGTCTGAAGGAGTTCTCATTGATCTCTCTCTGTCTGAAGGAGTTCTCATTGATCTCTCTCTGTCTGAAGGAGTTTCATTGATCTCTCTCTGTCTGAAGGAGTTCTCATTGATCTCTCTCTGTCTGATCTCTCTGTCTGAAGGAGTTCTCATTGATCTCTCTGTCTGAAGGAGTTCTCATTGATCTCTCTCTGTCTGAAGGAGTTCTCATTGATCTCTCTCTGTCTGAAGGGTTCTCATTGATCTCTCTCTGTCTGAAGGGTTCTCATTGATCTCTCTCTGTCTGAAGGGTTCTCATTGATCTCTCTCTGTTCATTGATCTCTCTCTCTGTCTGAAGGGGTTCTCATTGATCTCTCTCTGTCTGAAGGGAGTTCTCATTGATCTCTCTCTCTGTCTGAAGGGTTCTCATTGATCTCTCTCTGTCTGAAGGGTTCTCATTGATCTCTCTCTGTCTGAAGGAGTTCTCTCTCTCTGTTCTCTCATTGATCTCTGTCTGTCTCTCTGTCTGAAGGGTTCTCATTGATCTCTCTCTGTCTGAAGGTGTTCTTGATCTCTGAAGGTCTCTCTCTGTCTGAAGGGTTCTCATTGATCTCTCTCTGTCTGAAGGTGTTCTCATTGATCTCTGTCTGTCTGAAGGTGTTCCATTGATCTCTCTCTGTCTGTTCTCATTGATCTCTCTCTGTCTGAAGGAGTTCCATTGATCTCTCTCTGTCTGAAGGTGTTCTCATTGATCTCTCTCTGTCTGAAGGTGTTCCCATTGATCTCTCTCTGTCTGAAGGTGTTCTCATTGATCTCTCTCTGTCTGAATCTCATTGATCTCTCTCTCTGTCTGAAGGTGTTCATCTCTCTGTCTGTTGAATCTCTCTCTGTCTGAAGGTGTTCTCATTGATCTCTCTCTGTCTGAAGGTGATCTCTCTCTGTCTTCCCATTGATCTCTCTCTGTCTGAAGGTGTTCCCTTTGATCTCTCTCTGTCTGAAGGTGTTCTCATTGATCTCTCTCTGTCTGAAGGTGTTCTCATTGATCTCTCTCTGTCTGAAGGTGTTCTTTGATCTCTCTCTGTCTGAAGGTGTTTTCTTTGATCTCTCTCTGTCTGAAGGGTTCTCATTGATCTCTCTCTGTCTGAAGGAGTTTTCATTGATCTCTCTCTGTCTGAAGGTGTTCTCATTGATCTCTCTCTGTCTGAAGGTGTTCACTTTGATCTCTCTCTGTCTGAAGGGTTCTCATTGATCTTCTCTGTCTGAAGGAGTTCATTGATCTCTCTCTGTCTGAAGGTGTTCCCTGAAGGGTTCTCATTGATCTCTCTCTGTCTGAAGATCTCTTCTGTGTTCTCATTGATCTCTCTCTGTCTGAGTTCTCATTGATCTCTCTCTGTCTGAAGGTGTTTCATTGATCTCTCTCTGTCTGAAGGTGTTCTCCTGTTGAGTTCTCTGATCTGTCTGTTCTCATTGATCTCTCTCTGTCTGAAGGTGTTCTCATTGATCTCTCTGTCTGTCTGAAGTTCTCATTGATCTCTCTCTGTCTGTTCTCATTGATCTCTCTGTCTGTCTGAAGGTGTTCCATTGATCTCTCTGTCTGTTCATTGATCTCTCTCTGTCTGAAGGTGTTCTGTCTGGGTGATCTCTCTGTCTGTTGATCTCTCTCTGTCTGAAGGGTTCTCATTGTTCTCTCTGTTGAGGAGTTCTCTCTCTGTCTGAAGGGTTCTCATTGATCTCACTCTGTCTGAAGGAGTTCTCATTCTCTCTGTCTGAAGGGTTCATTGATCTCTCTCTGTCTGAAGGAGTTCTTGATCTCTCTCTGTCTGAAAGGATCTCACTCTGTTCTCATTGATCTCTCTCTCTCTGTCTGAAGGTGTTCCCATTGATCTCTCTCTCTGTCTGAAGGTTTTCACATTGTTCTGTCATTGATCTCTCTCTGTCTGAAGGGAGTTCTCATTGATCTCTCTGTCTGTCTGAAGGTGTTCCCATTGATCTCTCTCTGTCTGAAGGTGTTCCCATTGATCTCTCTCTGTCTGAAGGTGTTCACTTTGATCTCTCTCTGTCTGAAGGAGTTCTCATTGATCTCTCTCTGTCTAAAGGTGTTCCCATTGATCTCTCTCTGAAGGTGTTCTGATCTCTCTCTGTCTGAAGGTGTTCTCTGTTGATCTCTCTCTGTCTGAAGGTGTTCCCATTGATCTCTCTCTGTCTGAAGGTGTTCTCATTGATCTCTGTCTGTCTGAAGGTGTTCTCATTTCTCTCTCTGTCTGAAGGTGTTCTCTTTGATCTCTCTCTGTCTGAAGGTGTTCTCATTGATCTCTCTGTCTGAAGGTGTTCCCATTGATCTCTCTCTGTCTGAAGGTGTTCTCATTGATCTCTGTCTGTCTGAAGGAGTTCTCATTGATCTTCTGTCTGAATCTCATTGATCTCTCTCTGTCTGAAGGGTTCTCATTGATTCTCTGTCTGAGTTCTCATTGATCTCTCTCTGTCTGAAGTTCTCATTGATCTCTCTCTGTCTGTGTTCTCATTCTCTCTCTGTCTGAAGGAGTTCTCATTGATCTCTCTCTGTCTGAAGGTGTTCTCAGTTTGATCTCTCTCTGTCTGAAGGGTTCTCATTGATCTCTCTCTGTCTGAAGTTCACATTGATCTCTCTCTGTCTGAAGGAGTTCTCATTGATCTCTCTCTGTCTGAAGGAGTTCTCATTGATCTCTCTGTCTGAAGGAGTTCTCATTGATCTCTCTCTGTCTGAAGGAGTCTCATTGATCTCTCTCTGTCTCATTGATCTCTGTCTGTCTGAAGGAGTTCTCATTGATCTCTCTGTCTCTGTCTGAAGGTGTTCTCATTGATCTCTCTCTCTGTCTGAAGGAGTTCTCATTGATCTCTCTCTGTCTGAAGGTGTTCTCATTGATCTCTCTCTGTCTGAAGGAGTTCTCATTGATCTCTCTCTGTCTGAAGGAGTTCTCATTGATCTCTCTCTGTCTGAAGGAGTTCTCATTGATCTCTCTCTGTCTGAAGGTGTTCCCATTGATCTCTCTCTGTCTGAAGGTGTTCCATTGATCTCTCTCTGTCTGAAGTTCACATTGATCTCTCTCTGTCTGTAGGAGTTCTCATTGATCTCTCTCTCTGAAGGAGTTCTCATTGATCTCTCTCTGAAGGGTTCTCATTGATCTCTCTCTCTGATCTCTCTCTCTGTCTGTCTGAAGGATTGTTCTCACATTGATCTCTCTCTGTCTGAAGGAGTTCTCATTGATCTCTTGTCTGAGAAGGAGTTCTCTCTCTCTCTGTCTGAAGGAGTTCTGATTGATCTCTCTCTGGAAGTTTTCCCATTGATCTCTCTCAGGTGTTCACTTTGATCTCTCTGTCTAAAGGTGTTCCCATTGATCTCTCTCTCTGTCTGAAGGTGTTCTCTTTGATCTCTCTCTCTGTCTGTTCTCATTGATCTCTCACTCTGTCTGAAGGAGTTCTCATTGATCTCTCTCTGTCTGAAGTTCTCATTGTTCTCTGTCTGAAGGAGTTTCATTCTCTCTCTCTGTCTGAAGGGAGTTCTCTGTCTGAAGGAGTTCTCTCTCTGTCTAAAGGTGTGTTCCCTGAAGGATTGATCTCTCTCTCTGTCTGAAGGAGTTCTCATTGATCTCTCTCTGTCTGAAGGAGTTCTCATTGATCTCTCTCTCTGTCTGAAGGAGTTCTCATTGATCTCTCATTGATCTCTCTCTGTCTGAAGGATTGTTCTCTCTGTCTGAAGGAGTTCTGATCTCTCTGTCTGAAGGAGTTCTCATTGATCTCTCTCTGTCTGAAGGAGTTCTCATTGTTCTCTGTTGATCTCTCTCTCTGTCTGAAGGAGTTCTCATTGATCTCTCTCTCTGTCTGAAGGAGTTCTCATTGATCTCTCTCTGTCTGAAGGAGTTCATTGATCTCTCTCTGTCTGAAGGAGTTCTCATTGATCTCTTCTCTGTCTGAAGGATCTCTCTCTCTGTCTGAAGGTGTTCTCATTGATCTCTCTCTGTCTGAAGGGTTCTCATTGTCTCACTCTGTCTGAAGGAGTTCTCATTGATCTCTCTGTCTGTCTGAAGGATCTTCTCTGTCATTCTGAAGGAGGTTCTCATTGATCTCTCTGTCTGTTCTGTCTCTCTGAAGGAGTTTCATTGATCTCTCTCTGTCTGAAGGTGTTCTGTCAAGGAGTTCTCATTGATCTCTCTCTCTGAAGGGTCTCACTCTGTCTGAAGGAATCTCTCTCTCTGTCTGTCTGAAGGTGTTTCATTGATCTCTCTCTGTCTGAAGGTGTTCCACAATATATATTCTGTAGGGTGTTCACTAATCTCTCTGTTCAGACTGTTCAGGCTGATCTCTCTCTCTCTCTCTTTGCCTTAGGCTTTTCAAGTTTATCTCTCTGAGTATATTAATGTGGATGTCTCTTTCTAACTGATGGTGTTAATCTGGGTGTCTCTGTCCGAGGCTCTTCATGTCGATGTCTCTAAGTGAAGCTGTTCAAGCCGATTTCACTCCATATTTGAAGCTGTTCACATGGATGTAATATCAGTAATATCGTGGAATAAATTCTACAGGATACATTACTGTCCTTGTCCTCTAAGCAAGCACACAATACATTTAATATCTGTGTAAGTATTACTAGAATTTCCCCTTGAAAACTTTGAGCAGTTTCATAATGATTATGAACAGCATTCAGTGATATTCACTGTTATCTATATTTTTATAATTCTATATAGGTGTATCTTTTTTAAATCTGCATTCTGAGAGAGTAAATATGAAAATATATAGAAAGAATTAGAAACTTTAAATCTTATTTTTAAATGGGATTTTAGATTTTATGGTCATGTTCCCTTTTGCAGAGAAAATACTTAAAAAGATAAAAATAATGGAAACAAATAAGTCATGCTTCCAATTGAAAGTATTCTCTTTATCTGAAATTGTTTCCCAACTCAGTTTTGTTGTGTTTTGGTTTTCTCTTCAGAAAAAAAAATTCACTCATTGTCATCTCTGACTGACAGGAAAAAAAAAACCTAAAAACTTTGTTTTTTTTTTTTTTTTGTTTCAAATTCATGACAGTAACAAGGATTATTTACAGATGATTTATTAAAGGTTGCTTTTTTTTTTTTTTTTTTTTTTTATGGTTTATAATATTACCTATATTCAAATTCTAATTGCAAGGTGTGCTGGAGGTGCTGGTCATTTTCCAAAACTAGTTAAATTTTTGGGGTTTTTTTTTGGGTTTTTTAGGGCTTTTGATTGGGTTAGGGATATTTCAACACACCCTTGTAATTACATATTTTGTTTTAGGGTTTACAAAATTATCTATATATTCAGTTCTATTTGGAAGGTGTGGTAGAGGTGCTGAAAAACTCTCTCAGCCTGATCTATTTCCCAAAACTAGCTAAATATGATTTTTTTTTAAGGGCATTTTGATTAAGTGCAGAACTTTTCAGCATCCCATTGAAATTACATACAGTGATACCTAGACTTAAGTCATTTCCCAAGATACGTCAGTTTTTTGTAAATATTATATGGAAAAATAAATCTTGCCTTAGGTTGTTTTATTTGAGTTTACATTGACCATTAAAAATATTAGGAATGTCAAAACACTAAAATTACAATAAACACATAAAATTATATTCAAATAAATTTTAAAATAATATGTATATATATATATATATATATATATATATATATATATATATATAAAGAACAGTAAGATAGATAATCCGGTGTTCTTATTGATATCTTTTTATTTTTACAAAATAGTTCTCAATGTAAATTTACAGAGCATTAATATTACAAATTAACTGATTTAAACTTTTTTTCGCTACACAGTAATAACCATGTTTCAAAATGGAAGCTAAAAAAGCTTTGAATTTAATTTTGTAATTAAATTAAAAACATTAGTTCCATTTCATCTTCAAGTGAATTTTGGAGTCAAAAATACTGTAATAGGCAATGGGGAGTGCTTATTTGTGGTTTATAGCATAGTCATTTTGACCTAAGTTGTGATATCTGGAACCAATTAACGATGTAGGGCCAGGTATACCTGTATTTTTTAAGGTTTACAAAATTATCTATATATTCATTTTTATTTGTAAGAAGTCGTGAAGGTGCTGAAAAGGTTTTAGTCTAACTCATTTCCCAAAATCTGACCAAATATCTGAGTTATCTAGACATTTAATTCTATTGGTGCATATAGGAAAAACTTCTGCATTTCAAATCATTAAAACTAAACATATCCATGGATATGAGATCAATCTAATAACAACTTGGTCTCACTATTAAAGTAATTATATTTTGATTTGGAAACATGAGATATGTCTGCTTGTTAGTGTTTTTACTGCTTTACCATTACCATATCATTAGGGAGTAGTGAGTTGGTTGTTTTGGTTGTTGTTTTAACGGCATATCAAACTCTATTTAATGCCAAAATCTAAATATTTTTTGTAAACTATTTTTATTTTTGGAGATAATAATGGTTTTATGAAAGTATTACTAATTAACCCATACCTGGGGGGAAAAGAGATGGATTCATACCTTTCCCAAGAGTATTTTTGCATATGTGAATATGACAAACTCAACTGGAATTGGAACTTCCCCGAGTAACAATTTTGAGTCATTATCCGTTACACAACCCACACATCCAAGCTTACAGCACCCAGCATTTCTAAGTGGTCACCCATCTAGGTACTGACCAAGATCAAGGTTGCTTAACATACCCATGTTTCAACATAATATGGCCATAAGTCAGGAGTAGTGAGAAGTGGTTTCATGACTGATAAATATAGAAAGAAACATTGTCTTTTGTATCATAGAATAGATTGTCTTATATGTCATCTGTTGTTAGAATGCTGGGATCATCTCCTTGGGCTGATATTATCAGTGAGAAGGTCATAAAATATATACGAGCTGAGTAGGTTCAAGGCCGAAAGTATGGGGTACCCAGTGAGGATTGAACTCGCTATTCAATTGTAATTGATTGGGTAAGACAAGCTTGCTAAGCATTACACAAGGAAATCAACTGCATGAGGAAAGAGTGAATTATGAGTTCTGAAATTTTTGAGGAAGGAAGCCAGATATGACATGTAAAGGAATGAGATCATTTCACTGTAGATCAAATAAAGAGTTCTGTTTGACATTCTCTGAGGGTTACTTAATGCAATGAACAACTGAAGAAGAGTAAAAGTACAACAACCGAAACCTTATATTAATAACAAAAATGAGTGAACTTGTATAAATGATTCAATTTATTATTAAAAAAATTACAATTAAAATTTATCTTGGGAATGGGATATGTACATTTATAGATTAAAAATATCTTCAGTAAACAAACAATAGATGTCGATCCATTTTTCGATTTTAAAAAAAAAGTCCTTGGAAGCTGGAAAGTCTTCTTACCTTTTCTTGCTGTTTCTACACATTCTCCACTTGGAAACAAGATGTTAATCATTTAAAATTACGAGAATTAAAAATAAATTTTATCATTCAGAGATTTTCCATTTTTATTTTCTTTTAATGTTGGCATCATTTTCGTGTTTGTGTATGTGAGCGTCAGTATAGTTTTTAAACTTAACATTATTCATATATGTCAAAGTAAGAAAAAAATACAATGAATTATTCCACTAATGGCTTGGAAATATTCCTAATTCCTTGAATTACTGGAAGAGAAGATAAACTAAACAAAAAAAAAAAAAAAAACTAAGAATATAAATAAAACAGGATAGATTCAAATTACCCTCCCTATAAGAACTTAAGCGATGATATTTTCTTAAAAAAAATAATTCAAAAATAGTTTTAAAATGAAATGTTTCCTCAAATTTTTTTTGTATACATATTTTTTTGAAAATTGTTGAATTGTTAAAGAGAAAATCAAAATGTCACAATTAAATTGACCTTTAAAAGATTTATCCTGAGGATTTAAGTAGATTTTATAAGTATTGAAAGAGACCCACAAATCTATCATATATATATATATATATATATATATATATATATATATATATATATATATATATATATATAAAAATAAATTTGTTCACTTAGCAGTTTTGAATATCTATATTCAACAACAACGAAGTGAACAAATTTATTTTATTTACTATAATTA